TCTCTCTTATACACGCATGCATGGTGAAAATATGAAAATGTGAAAGTGTGAACTGAATTGGATTCGGTTCAGTGAACTTGTGTACAATGGTGTGTTGCGGTTACGAATGCACCATCTATCGACCATAAAAGTTAAAAGATTTTTTTGCAGATATTCTTTCTTTTCGTAACTTGAAAATAACCATTAATTATCAAATTAATCACGAAATTAAGCGACAAAAGGATAAGTGGGTTTTTTTTTTTTTTGAAACGACAAATTAATCTACTCCTAACTATGACCATCTATGTCTCAAGTGAGACTTGAACCAATGACTTTTCAGATGAGAGAGTCATTCCATACCACTAGACCTTAATGGCTAAAAAAGCTACTATAGTTTTGATCATTTATCAAGATGATAATTAAATGCTTATAAGTTCTCGCCAAACATTTTGGTTTTTCATTTGAACCTAATTTTGTGTGTATTTACAACATTATAAGTAATTTGAGATAATTAAGTGCAACTATAGATCCGTAAACTTGCCTCTATTTGAAGCAATCATAATTCCATTGTGTTCTCTTTCCTCGCTAACTAAATGACGGTAAAGCTTTCTTATTATTCATATATACATATTCTTTAAGGTTGACGTATATTAAACAAAACGAGTGATCAAGAGATCAATTTCTTTTCCTTTATAACTGCCGGCCTTTGTAGGTTTGTCAAAACATCTAGAAACTCGGCAAACTCCTCATTTGATTTCATATATACGGATGTAAGCATGTACAGAAAGCAACTATGTATATTCAAATTATATGCAAATATTCTAGATGTAGGAAGCCTGAATCCTCATCAGATAATAAGGACTAACTGCACATTTGGGGAAAGGATGAATGATCAGGTAAGATTAATATAGTATTTGAGTGTCAAAAAGGTGAACGCATTAAAGTGCAAAAGATAGGAGAGACTTACATCGTGGTATGCTCTCAAGAGACTGTATATGGTTTCCGATCTAATCCAAAGCTCTACTGATCAACTTACTCAGAAAGAGAAAGAATAGAATTTAATTACATCTACTTTTATAGACACCATATGCATATTAGTTTTCTCTGAACAATAGCTGCATTCACGAGGGGTATCCTAGCTTTAACTTTATTATTATTATTATTATTATTATTATTATTAATATTATTATTATTATTATTAAGTGTTGTTATTATTAGGCAAATAAACTAGCAATTGATCCCCTATATATGAACTTTAGAGCATATAGGGCAAAATGCTACCAAAGTAAATGTATGATAATATTAACGTTATTATGATCATACATACAACTTGAATTGATAAAATTCCTCTTCTAAGACTAAAAGACTTTTTACTATTATAGCATCTTCACAATAAAGAACTTGATCAATGTGACATGCATATAATATAACTAACTTGATAGGATATATATAAAAGTTAATATATATGGTCCTTGGTTATATATATATATATATATATATATATATATATATATATATATATATATAAAAGTTAATATATATGGTCCTTGGTTAAGTAATTATATGTTCATAGGGTAATGATTCTTATTTTGATTAAAACTTAAAAGTTTTATATAGGCGTAGTTGGTAAACAGACAACAAACTGCGTTGCTAACCTTTGTTGGAAAGCGAAACTAATTCTTTTCAAAACCACATCCAAATTCAGTTGTCCCAAAATGAATCCCGTGGAGAATATTAATTTAAGGTGTAATTTTTGCTTATGTACTCATGAGTTCATCGATTTTCTTGCACGTTTATCCATCATGCTCGCCATGTGCATGGACGGGAAGGGGGCTGTATAACTATTGCGTACATTTACTTCAAGTTTAAAGATGAATGGTTTTTCACTATTGACATCTCGAGGTTGAGACTCAATAGCGGGTCTTTTTATTAATGTGGATATTATTGAAATGTAAGCGAGACTTTGATTAGTTTGGTAATTTTAAAAGGTAGTTAGTGTGTTAGTTTATAGGTTAGTTACTTGGTAGTTATTGCTGGATAAGTTGGTAGTTATATGGAAGTTAAGTTAGTTATTAACCGCCAATGGGAAAGGGTGTGATGGCTACTTGTTGTGAAAGGCTGTGTTGGTTGAATGCTGTATATGTTTGTCTATATATATGTCCAATGTATGTAATCCTGCGTGGAGATGATAAAATTTCTGTTTATTGTGTAAAGAAAAGTTCATGTACTCACATTGTGTAAAGAATATATATCTGCAGCTTTGGATATATAATCATGGCATTGTGTGCACATGCCTAAATCTAGACCACTACAATTTGTTTGAAAAGAAGAGACTAAAGTTTATGAAAGGATGGGGCACTAAATAAGTTGATTAACATTAACTATTCCAACAAAGTTCTGTAAATCTTGTTTCCTAATCTAATCGGTCTTGCTATATCTAGAAAGAACATGTAGTTCCATAATTAAAAAATCAGCAATATGATTATTCTATGTCATGGACCTAATATATGTCTCTCATCTCCCCAATGGGTGAGTGAGATAATACTTTACTTCGAACTAGATGTTCTGTTGACATTATCTTTTATGTATGTATGTTATTTGTTAGAGTATATTAATGTTTCTAGCTAGGACAATGTAACCTTTATACAGGTCTCCACAATCCCACATGATACTCCTCCCATACTTTCATTTCTTCTTCATTTTTGTCCAAGACTTTATTAGAAGACACTTCATCAACTAACAAGGAATGATGCATGCATTATAGGAAATGTAATATCAAGTTTATATTAGATATAATCAATTGGAGATGAAAATATCAATGATTCGCTGCCATTATTAACAGTAATTTATATTTTTCAAAATAATTTATGTGCTAAATTCGTAAATTGTTCCTATTATGGGATGTTACTAAAAATTTTAAATAGCCAAATTCAAGTTAGTTTTGTCTGAAAATAAATAGATATACAGAACTAATCTATTTGTTACGTATAACAAAAAAAAGTAGCCATAAATGATGTGCTTTTGTTTGGTAAAATTGATGTGCTTGAGAAAGGAAAAACAAGGATGTTACATGAATTAATTATATACATATAAGAAACATAAAGTCATAACTTTCTGTGCATGTGAGCAAACAGATGAATATATTCACTTAATCGGCAGGGTCTCAGAAACATAGATGTATAATCATAAATTAATTAGGTGAAGAAGTTATGTTTAGAGGGTGCTACAATTACCAAAATGATTGTATTCCAATACAAAAATGAAAATAATTACGGGTGCAGGCTTGGTATATGTATAATAACCCTATTACTTGGTGACAAAAATTAAAATAAGTTGGAACTAAAGCTTCTAAAAAGCTCAACTAACTATATTAAGAAGTGCATTCAAATTCGGTAAGTAAACACCATATTCACACTCTCATATATGGAAGTATTAATTCATACATATGTATGTGTATGGTATACATATGTATATATGTATATATGTAATATAACTCTATAAGTACTGTTTTAATATATATATATATATATATATATATATATATATATATATATATATATATATATATATACACACACACATACATAATTTAGAGACACGTTATTATATAAGTTTTGAATGCCATGTATCCTCTATTAATTAATGAGAGAATAATTAGTGTTACTTCAATTATCATAAAGAAAAATTATTGCCTATTCATAGCTTAAACTACAAAATGAAGCATTTGCAATAGAAAAGAAAAATTAAAAAAGAAAAAAGAAAGATATATGCTTGAACTTCTAACACGAAATGTGAAGTCTGATAAAGAGATGGAGGAGTACTGTAAAAAAGAAAAAGAAAACACAAAGAAGGGGACCTGGCTAGCTAGGAAGTTATAAATTAAAATTGAACCTAAACAGAAAGGAAAGGACATATATGTATTTGTGTAAAATGTAGTATGTGAAGATATGGAAGAAACAGGTAAAGAAGAATAGCAAGAATTAATGATAACTCTTCTTGAGGGATGTCTAGTAACAAGCAACATGCACAGAGAAAGAAAGAAAGAAAGCCTTTTCTGTGTGTGTATTGCTTGGGAGAGAGAGAGAGAGAGAGAGAGAGAGAGAGAAGTACCTGCGGAGAGAGATAGATAGATAGAGAGAGAGTCTCTAAAGAAGGTAGCAGCGGCAGCGACAAGAGCAACAAACCTACAAAAGGTAATAAAAACAAAAAAGAAGAAGAAAGAAAGAAACCCAAGTCCTTTCTCTTCGATTTTTTTTTCTTCTTCTTCTTCATTCACATTGTGTTCTTACGGACAAAAGTCAGCATACTTATTACTTCTTCCGTTCTTCTTTTTACCGTATTCTTCTTAAAGATAAAGATAAAAAGATCAAAAGGAAAAGGAGAAAAGCCGATCATCTCCTGTGAGAAACGTAGCATGTATACATACTAATTAAAGGGGAATATATATATATTATTTAATTAATAAATGAAAGATTAGAACTTTTATTTAGGAAACAATGTAGAAAATCACAGATTATATGTGTAATTAATCTAATTCTATGTAGTAATTAATAAAAGGTAACGTTAGACAATAGCTTAGTAATATATTAATAGTGAAGGTGTAAATGAATTTATAACCAGAAAATTGTACATTAGGCTAATAAAATTAAATAGCTGAAAACTAAAAATCAGTTTAAACCTCTCACTTCCATTTGTTTGCAGCAAATCACTCTATATATAGCACTCTCTAGTCATCCTCTAATTCATTCATCGATCATCAACAACCACAGCTACCTATCCATCAAGAACACCCTGGATTTGTGATTCCACCCTCTAAAAATATACCTTCAATTCTTGCCGCTAGCTGGATGATCTCTTCAAATGTTTACTTTTGGGAACAAAAAAATATTGATCATATCAGATCAAAACTCTTGGGCTACTCAAATATAAATGTATCCTCCGATAAGCCACATGAGTGGTAGCTATATGATCTCTTATTTTGTTGGCAGATGGGTGGATAGGATGGATAACTAATTGTGTGGTCAGATATCCAAATCCAAGGACATATGAGAGGACGATGATTTGGTGGTTTTGTTGAGAGCATCAGTAGAAGAAGAAGACACCATTGGGGTTTGATGGAATTGGGTTTCTTCTCCGTAATTAGGCCTCAATTGCAGGTAAGGTATGGTAGAAGAAGAAGATGGTGGCGGCGGATTATGGTGAGTGGGATAGTGTTCATGGTGGTAATTGCCATGATTATAGTGTCCCATGGGAATCGAATTGGTGGTGGGGGAGATTAATTCACCTGGAAGCTGGTCATAGTCTTGCTCGTCGTCATCTGAGATAGGGCAATCCATGTTAACGCCAAACAAACGGAGCCTCTTAGCTGCTGCTTTCCCATGAACAACTGGAACCGATTCAAACACTACACCTGGTGCTGGACCTGGTAGTACCGGTGGATCAATCCCAATCCCAACCCCACTTCTTTGCTGCATTTGCATCATATCCGCATGTTGTTGATGTGGGATACCACCTGCACCTGATCTGAAGTAAATCACTGATGATCCTGAACCTCCTTGATTCACATTCACTACGCTACCAGTTCCTATGTTGTGGTAAGGGGAACCGCCGGAGGTGCCATAACGGTAAGAATTAGGAGGGGCGGCGTAGCTGTTTGGGGGCTGTAGCATCAAGTTAGAGTGGCTCCGTGGGGGTGCTGGCTGGGATTGGAAGAAAAGTGGGTTCCAACTGACACCGGCAGTGTTCCTGTTGTGGAAAGAAAATTGATGATGTTGTAGTGGGAAGGAGAGATTGGATGACAATTGGTAGGGCGGAGCTTGTGCATCCGGGCGGTGCCTCCAGTCTATGAACAAGCGATCTTTGGCGGAGCCACCGACACCTCTTTGGAAAGAGACTATATCTCCGGCATCAAGCTTTTTGTCTTTAACAAAACGGCTCCAACCCTTGGTCATCACATAGCTTTGGCTGCTGTTCCAGTAGGAGTATCTAAACCTCCAGGGTTTTCCATTCCTATCTTCAAAATTAAGAAGGAGACCCTTATCGTTGGTGGAGGAATCCAAGGGGAAATACCTCTCGGCGTGCTGTTTTGGAATCACAAGACGATTCAGCTTACCCACATCACTTGGAGTCACAACTTTATCAAACATGTGCTCCCTCTCTACCACCATCATCATCCCTCCTCCTCCTCCTCCTGCAGCAGCTTGATGTGAAGATTGTTGGTCATCATCATTAATGTTATCGGGTGCAGGTTGGGGGACTGAAGAGTAGTCCATAATCATGGGGTCGCTTGGCCGTGATGAAGTGCCGTCAAACACCCAACCCCCACGCTGATTCTGGTGGTGGTAGGGAGGCTGCTGAAGAAAGCTGGGTGGTGGTTGATGTTGATGGTGATGATGAGAAGAAGATGGGGAAGAAGATGAAGAAGAAGGGAATAACTGACCTGCTGGGGCCGTGTTTTGTCTTTCTTCTTCGTCTTCTTCTTCAAACAAATTCCCTCCTCCTCCCGCTCCTCCTCCTCCTCCTCCTCCCTGCTGTTGTCTTCTACTGCTGGTGCTACTACCACTATCGCCGGTGCTCTTACCCATAAAATTCATGATAATTTTTGCGCTTGTGTCTGGTATCCAAGATATATCAAATATAAATATGTGGATCTCTCTCTCTCTATATATATATAGCTAGGTAGCTAGCTACGTAATTCAGCTAGCTTCTGTTGCTGTATCCTCTTGGCCATGTGAAGAGTACGTACGTATATCCATGGAAGCAAGAAATGAAATTGAGAGCTAGCTTATGGGATATGGGGTGTTGGAGAAATTGACGCTGAGTTATAAAAAAATATTGATGATGATGATGATGATCTTAGAGAGGGAGGAGAGGTGGTGGTGTGGGGATGTAGGTACTATTGGTGTGTTGGCTTTTTCCGAAGGGTTATATTTACTTATGGTAATGAAACATCTAGCTAGCTAGGGTTGACATAAAAGAATTATTGGAAAAAGATTGGGAACTAACTCACCCCATTAATTCCAAATTACCTCTCAACTAATAATATTCCCACTTCCACAATTATCATCACCAATTAAACTTGATAACCTTCAAAAATCACAACCCATTCCATCAATCTGCAGTTTCCTTACTTCCATTTTGACTTGCTAACCTGCTTGACTTCTCTCTCTCTCTTTTCTCTCCATCTCATAAAACACACACTGTTTACACAGTGTTTGTGTGTGTGAGAGAGAAAAAAAAAAAGAAAAAGAAAGAAAGAGAGATATTATTTATGCAGTGTGGGGGTGGGGATTTGAGTGCTTACCTGGAAGCTTCTCCCACATAGCCCGATATTTTTACCCTTTCGGTCATCAATTCACTTCTTACTTTCGCATTAACTGATATTACATTTATTATCATCATAATTATTATTATCATAGGTGTTATTCTAATTATGTATTCCATTAATATACTTGTGCCTATATATTTATATATGCCTCCGGCTTCGTTAATGCTAATTGTTTCCTAATTCTCTAAAAACTTAATAATATTAGTTTTACAAGAAAATAAATTGCAAATAAGACTTAACATGGTGTGTGTGTGGTCTATATTAATACGCTAATAATATATAGTTTGTCTTCTAATAACCAAAAAATTATGTTTGAATTTTTACAATCTAGACTGGTCCACATTTTTCATGTGGAGTTGATACAAAATGTCAATATATATACAGTATGGACACTTCCTAGCTACGTCAAAATTTGAAAATCAGAAATGCAACAGTATGTTACTATTGATCATGGTGTATATGTTGGCTTTTGTTTGTGAAATTCCAAACCATGTTAGCTTTACAACTGCAAAATAGATTTATGTTTTCAATTATTTCATATGGATCCCTAAAAATAAAATTGATTTGAATATATATGTAAAGAAGAGGTCGGGGATGAGAGGGGTCCATGAGTTATCTGGTTGGGCTCATGTGAGGTTGCCTCTGTCATATGGTCCTGGACCTGGGGCTGCGTGTATTCCTTCCTATTTTCAACTACTTCCTTCCCTTCCCATCCCCTCCAAATTGTGCCAGTTGTTTCCTATTTCAACACCTTCAAGCATATATTACTTTATTATAACTTAATTATATTGTTTATTGGTTTTATAAGATACCAATTATTTGGAGCTCAGCATGCATATATAAATCTAATCCTACTGTGTTAATTATATATAATAATAATTTGGCCACATGTATGTGTAGCCTGACATCAATAACTGTGTGTTATTCTATTGACCCTCTTTGTCACTTTGTCCTGTACGGAAACTTCATCTGTTTTGGAGGGTTCTTCTGGACCGAGTAATTAATTTACAGATAAAAAATTTATTAATTTTCTTGGGTGAGGTTTAGACTTTAGTCACACACTTCTAACTTGATGGTTACAAAGTCCCAAGACTTAGAGCCCAACCACCTAAATTATAATACTGTGGTCCACCTATATATATGATATGATATATATAATATATCCCACCATTTATAATTATTCTCCTTCCTCACATCAGCCAACATCTTTTTCTCTAAGGTGAAAATTTATATTAAATATCATCATAACAAGACCTCCATCACATCATTCCTTTCCCTCGTACATAATTAAATCTGATAATTAACCTTTTTTGCTTGGTTAATTTGGCGAATATGTATATATAATTGATAACCCTTTTCATATGATGCATGTCTATTTGTGTATGTTTGGTGTGTGTGTGTACATGTGTGTGTGATAGGTTTTCTTGGGTAAGAACCTTTCATGTGCTTTGATGGCATCTAAAGTCTCATTATGAATTATTAAAGTGGAATGGAACCAAACCATCGGTAAAGTTGCCATCTTTCTTGGTAATGTGAAGTGTTGGGTACGTACATACCTATTAATTGATTTAATATGCTTGAAATTAAGTATGTAAAGTAGTAAAGTAATTAAAAGAGGATGAAATATATACTGAATGAATTAGATATATAAAGTAGATGCAAATATATATAACATGATGATATGAATATGTGATATATTGTAAAACGTGGATTAAATAGGGCCGTCCTGATGATGATCTCGCGGGCTGGCCTGGCCTGGTTGCATTTGCATGTCTTGAAACGTTGATGGATCATCCATCCGGGACAGTGTTTAACTTATTAGGTAAGGGAAGAGGACCACCTAGTTTTCAGGCCATGCTGCTGCTTGATTGCTTTGATTGACAACCATGACACTAGATAGCTCTCTCAATTGGGAGGGGAAAAAAGCCAACTTGTCCTCTAATTCCTTACTTCCATCCATTTATCTCACTTGCTACTACACTCCAGTTTCATTTATAATGCTTGCTACCTTTCCAAATTATATCGTACAATTATTATTATTATTATTATTATTATTATTATTATTATTATTATTATTTTGTTTAAGTTTATATATACATACATATATGATATATCATATATGTTGCACATTGACTAGTCATTATACTCATTTACAATTAACATAATCATTGATGTTAATGAGAGGAAATAATGATGATAATAATAATTTTGGTCTCCAAAAGCATAACCCAATAAATATTATTAAATAGATATGGTGTTTAGTCACAATGCTCTAGGTGTACGTTCATGCATTCTTGTACACGGGTTTCTTAGCCTTGAAATATAAAAGAATCAAAGCATCTAAAGGCATAGTTTATTTAGTTAACTAAATCGCATCTTACACCTCTCCGGTCTCCACCTCCCTCCCAAAAACAGATATTAAATAAGTTGATTTCAAATTCAAAGATTTGCCCCGAGTTCTTCTGGTTGTCGCAAAAAACTTTGCACATTTGAGTTGATTTGGATATTGAAGTTTCTATCCAACGACAGGAAGCACAACAGAGTCCAGAATTTTCTGTTAGAAATGAAGTTTGTACGTACAACTCTCTATTACAAGTAATATTGAAACATATTTCTATCAAAAGGTGAACTTTTACTATATTTATAGTTTCAGGAGTGTGTATAATTGTAACGACTTGTTTCGAATCGTTACCTATTTGGGCGGGAGTGATGAAATGTAGATGGTTTGGGCATTCAGAATTGGTTTTGGTGCCAAGGGGCATTTTGGTAAATTGGCAGCGGGCCTTTATGGAAATTGAATTTTGTGTTCAGGGAACTTTAAGTCAAGTAGGCGTTGATAATAGTGTGGAGATTATTGATACCTTTTCATGGATATAAGGATGGTCAGAATCGGAGTTGTATCAAAGAAGTTATGGCCTTCGGAATGAAATAGGTTTTGGGGAAAACCTAGTACGTGGGGCGTACCGAGGCGTAGAGGGCTACGCCATGCGTAGTGGAGTGTATGCTTAGCGTACTTTGGAGTTGGGATCGGGGTGTGAGACCTTGTATGTTGGGCGTACGAGGGTCTGTAAGAAAACCCTAATTTTCGCATTTGTACCCTATAAAAACTTTATGTTAGCCCCTTTCCCTCATTTCTAAGTCAGCCTCCACACTCTAAAAACCCTAAGTCGATCTTAGAGCCTCTTGGAGGTGTTCTTGAGCTATTGGGAGGATTGGGTGCTCATTCTTGCCTTTGGGAAGGAAATAAGAGAAGCTTGAAGTTGTTTTGCTTGGTGGGAAAGCTTTGGATCCAGAATCATCACCTTGTGGGGAAGCTTTTTGAGGTAACAAGTTTGCAACTTGGTTTATGTATGATTAGGTCTCTTCATGGCTATTTTATTGTGGTTTTGGTCTTCTTTTTGAGATTATGGATGAGTTAGGTTGTTTAAGGGTTCATCCTTTCTGATCTGAGTTTGTTTTGGTATCCTTGAATATAAAGGTGCAAGCTTTATGGGTAATATAGAGTCATGCATACATTAAGTCAACCAATAAGTCCTTTCTAAGCTTAAAAGCTTCTTTTGGTCATGTATGAACGTAAAGTTGGCAACTTTACGTGGTATTCCAGTTGAAGGAGGTCAGATATGTGGTTTGGAAAGTTTTGTCTTAATGGATTAAGTGAAAATCAGGTTTGGGCTGAATAAGGTGAGTACGATGGGCGTACAAGCAGGTACGCGCATCGTACAATCCTCCAAGCGAGTACGTTGCGCTTACGTGCTTGTACACCCCCGCGTACTCGATCTGAATGGGCTTGGTGTGTTTGGGCTTCATTTGGGTTATCTTTTGGGCTTGGTTGCTTAGGGCTTTGTTGGACCAGCTGAGATTATGTGTTTTGGATTAGGAAAAGTTAATGGGCTTTAAGGTAAGGCCCATGTAAGCGTTTGGGCCCAATTTGGAAAAATAGGCCATTAGTGGGCTTTAGATAAGTATTGGTTTGTGGGCATTTATGATTGTGAGTTGGGCCTTAGTCTTGGAACCAACTAGGTGAGAGGTAAAATGGTCTTTTTACCCCATATATGCATTGTTGGATTTGGTTTGGAACCTAATTGTTAATTGGGTGTTATTTGCTTGATAACGTGGGGATTCTAGCAGTTCAGCAGTCAGAGATTTATTTGTGGGTTCGGCTGCCGAGGTGAGTCTCCTCACTGTTCTATGGGTCGAAGGCACCAATGTCGGCCTATTTGGTTTATGTATTATAGGAAGACCAAGGGGTGGCCCTTGGCATTTTGT